GGAGGCTGAGGTAGGAGAATTACTTGAACCCAGGAGGCGGAGGCTGCAGCGAGCTGAGATCGCACTGTTGCATTCCAGCCTGGGCAACAAGAGCAAAACTCCATCTCAAAAAAAACAGAAATGGGCCAAATATGTTGACTCATGGCTGTAATCCCAACACTTAGGGAAGCTGAGGCAGAAGGATTGCTTGAGTCCAGAAGTTTGAGACCAGCCTGGGCAGCATAGTGAGATCTCTACAAAAAAGAGAAAATATATTAGCTGGGTGTGCTGGCATAGTCCCAGGTACTTAGGAAGCTGAAGTGGGAGAATCACTTGAGCCCAGGAGGTTGAGGCTGCAGTGAACCGTGATCATGCTACTGCACTCCAGCTTAGGCAATAGAGCGAGACCCTGTCTCAAAAGTAATACATTCAGAGTTGGAATGCTGTTTCTGCCTGCAGAGTTACAGCTCTGTAGCTTCCAAGTTCCTACCTGCCTGGCATAGGACTCTTGTTCTCATCTATTTATTTTCTGTCCACTACAGAGGCACCAAGTCTAAAGGAGGCAGAAGGCAAAGAACCTGAGCTCTTCCTAAGTAGATCCAGGCCTGTGGCAGCCAAGGCCAAGCAGGCCCATCTCACAACCCTGAAGCACATACAAGCACCCTGGTGGAAGAAGCTTGGGGAAGAATCTGGAGATGAGATTGATGTTCCAAAGGATGAGCTTAGTGTAGAATTAGAAACTTTATTCATTGGTGGAACCAAACCACCTTAGTGAGTTACCCTAAGAATTGACACAAATCTCATATTTTAGGAGATTATATTGGTTCTACCTCTGGCATGCTAGTAGACTAGGGCCATCCTAACTTATTATTTTCCAGAGGTGACAAGACCTGCAGTAAGCAAAGAGTTATCTTCTACCTCTCTCTCAATTTTCTTTTTCTTTTCTCTGTATCCTCATCCTTGGCCACACACAGATTTGTGTGGCTTTTATTGTAGAACTAAACTTAGCATAGTGTTCTGTTGTTTACATGAAGTGTGTTTTTCTTTAGTTTCTGCTGTTTTCCAACTAAAGATTTTTTTCTAAATAAAGATTTTCAACAATTGATTTGAAAAATTTGTCAGGATTATTTCAACTTTCCACATTTGTTATCTGGAATTCCTATTTCCTGTTAACGTAGGAGGTGTGTGCAGAGTTTATTAATGTGAGGAAAAGAAATGCTCAATTGAAGAATATTTCCCTATTTTCTATAAAGCAGTGGTTGAACTCATTTTCTATTTTGTTATTTCTAAAAGGAACTACCTACCAAAAAAATGCATTCTTTCTATTAAACTATGAGAACTATATAATGTACAGTTTCCCTTTTTGTCTTTTCTCCTAGGAATCTCAGAGTTAAATATAATGTTTAATTTTTGTTATAATCCTAGGTACCTTTATGATTATTTGGTTCCAACCTAATACTTTTCAGTTTCCATGTTTGCTTTAAATATGTTTTAATACCATAAAATTGAAGCCACTTCAGTTTGTATTTGTAACAATATGGAATTTAAGTTAAAATCAGTTAACAAATCATAACTCCATATCATAAAGAATCTGGAAGATGCTTTTTGTAAAATGAGTGAAAATACCCGTATTTCTGAATATAAGATCAAATTATATAATGTTGTACAATCTCTAATGTTAACTTTAGTAAAATTCTAGTCAAAATTCCTATATTTGTACTTATGATTGGAAAAGAAATGTAGAAAAATTATGTAAGAGTGTTGCTCCCAATTTAGCAGAGAAAATGCCAGATAATCTAGAACAATAATTTTTCTTGAGCCCATTACATAGCTGAGAACTCAAGCCAACCATGTAAACTGGGATAGGACTCTCTTTCTGTGAAATGAAGTATTTCATCTATAGCAGAGCACAAGAGAAAAGTGGCTAGGTAAGAAGAAATCAAATAAATTTGAATTATTTTATTATCAAAACCTGCTGTTGCATCCTCTGCACCTGTCACCTAGTAGGAGTTCACAAAAGTATTTTTAACATATTTATAATGGAAAATTTTAAGAACATGCAAAAGTAGAGAGAGTAGTATAACAAACTCACTTTTACCCATCATTCAGCTTCAACAATTGTCAAACCAAGACCAATCTGACTTTAATTCCTTATGTTGAACCAAATTCAAGACATCATGTCATTTTATCAGTAAATATTTCAGAGCATATCTCTAAGATATAAGAATTATTTAGAGTAAATAA